TCGTTAAACTTAACGAGCTAACGAGTTTCATGAGTAGCTCGTTAAGCTCGTTAGTAACAACATAACACATATTTTCATCTTACGTGACAAACTTTTTGTAGCAACTCAGCCCATCAATTCAATCTAATCGACATATGAGGCAACAAACTAGTGCATTTCTATTTCTACTCACCATATTTCATCTTGAAAACCACACCTACACATTCATCCTGTATATCGAAACACATTATAATCTGTTAACGAGCGCTCGCGAGCGCTCACGAGCTTAACGAGCTTCAAACGAGCCGAGCCGAGCAGGGTTTTCTGCTCGTTATTCTTAACGAGCTTAACGAGCCGAGTCTTAACGAGCACGAGCTTAACGAGTACGAGCTTAATGAGCCGAGCTGCTCGTTAGTCCACCCCTACCACCACCAGCCGAGGCGCACCACCTCCGCACGCCCGCGACGGAGAGGAACCACCGCAGCCGCCAGTAGCCCGAAGCCGGACACCAGGCAGCGGCCCGCGCCGCCTGCCGGGCGGATCCTGTCGTCGCGACGAGGCGCGCTCCACCATGCAGCCGGCCACGCAGCGCCACGCACCGCCAGGGGGCCGCGCGCCACCACGCCACGATGCCCCGAGCCCGCACCGCGCCCGCCCTCGATGGAGGAGCCCGCGCCACCCCATTGCGCGGAGGAGGAAGAACAGGCCCTACCGGCGCCGGCGCCGGTCGGTCTTAGCCCGGCCGCGCCCCTTGGCGGCAGCGAGGGAGGAGGGAGGAGGAGGGGAGGAGACCGGCGGCGGGGGGATCTGGGCGCCCGCCCCGGCCGCCTCGCGGGCGGCGGCGTGGGGAGAAGGGTTTCGCGGGGGGAGTCCACTACATTAAAACTTAGGAGACACACTCAGTATGATAAGCTAGTTGGTGTTTTGGTCAGCACGGACTGCATGCTAGCGTCAGGTCTCTGTTTTGATTGCCACTTGACACACCTTTTTCATTTTAGTCTCGGATGCTGACAAGTGGGACCCATTAGTCATTGAGCCATATAGTATACAACTAAATCATGTTTCATCGCTACAAGTGAGCCCTACGCCATCTTGACACCACGCCAGACATATAAGGTGCTATGTCAGTGTGCTTTACATCTACAGATGAGATTAACATCGTATTTACATTTTCATGTCAAGTTTTAGAACCAGTTCGGTCTATTTTTCAAGTTCAGACACTAAAGTGAACATCCATAGCAAGTTCAAGCATCACTGGTGTATTGACCTCTTTTGTGAAAGGGTGCATGTTCGAAGCGAGCAGTGGATCATTTTGATAGTTTCCCTACTCTCGTGTCTGTGGGTTGCCATGAGGTGAAATATTTTTTATCTCAATAATTTGGTAGCTTGAGTCATGCATAGTACACAAATTAATATGATTGAGCGGCATACGGGAAGGAGTGGTACAATATGGCGTGAAATTGAATGGCGTAATTCCACACTATTGAAAAAGGTAACTTAATTAAGGTGAAGTTCATGTATTGTGGCAAAAGGTAAGTAAATTAATACTCCCTCTGTTTCATAATGCATAGCATATATATTTTTTGAGAAATTAAACGTCACAAATTTTGACCAAGTTTGTGAAGAAAAACTTTTACATCTATATTGCCAAACATATATCATTAGATTTATTATAAGATGTAGTTTTATATTTTATATTTTGGTATTTTAGAATTAAATAATTTTCTCTATAAACCCGGTCAAAGTTTGCAAAGCTTGACTTTTCAAAAATTTATACGTACTACATTATTGAATGGAGGGAGTATGGCTGAGCGGCGTATTTGAAAGGTGCGGTCAAACATGACATGACGGTGAAAACTTGGCTAGATGAGAAAAATCGATGGATAAACATGATGGGAGGTGGGAAATCAGCTGAGGACGAGTTTTGCCAAGAACGCTACTTATATTTGTAAGTAATTGAGATAGAGATTTTTCTCGACGGCAGAACGCCGATGGGTTGTTGTATTCTCGATAAGCAGATTCCTGCACTTTTTTCACTAAAAAAATGCACCACTCTAGAGTCTTTGTTTACAAGCGGCATAACAAAAAGTAACGATGGAGAGTTTTCCTTTTTAACGTTTAACTATGGAAAGTTGAAACTTAGGTGTTCTTTTAGGTGAGCTGTTTATGTGACGTCATTCCCAACTTTTCTTGTGACGTCAGATAGTATACAAATGAAGTTCGAAAAAAAAAGGTACTAGTATACAAATGACTAGTCCATGAGGCTGGCGACCCAGGGGGGATGGATGGCCGGGGGAGGGGAACGCCCCTGTCGACGTCGACGGTCCCCCCTGCGCCAGTCGGACGGGATCAATGCACGCTGCTGCTGCTCGGGTCTGGGAGCTCGGCCGGATATGGCGCCGATTGAGGCTCTAGGGCTCTAGGCTCTGGCTGGTCCAGCCCGGCTCTGCTCCCCCTAGCAGTGCCCGTCAGATGTTCGAACAATTGCCTCATTGGCCAGCGGGGCGCCGGCGGCGGAGCCGACCGTACTGATGAGTGCCCCAGTGCTGCTAACGTGCCCCCGGGGTGGCCAGTACCTAACTACGGCACGGCAGCTAATGGCCGGAGAAGAGCCAATGCACGAGCGGCGATGGACCGCTCCACGGAACGGTGGTCGCACGTGGAGCGAAAATGTCAAAGGATGGCGACGCTCGAGGCGCCAGGGAGGCAAGATGTGACTTTGCTGGAGTCAAGTGGATGACATCGCCGGAGTCAAGTGGATGATGATGGCAGTATTCCGGTTTTCTGCGATGATGGTTAGTCAAGGTGGCCTCTGAGCGCCGGCGTGAAGTGTGAACCCACGGTGTGTGGTGGTCGTGTACCAGTCAACTGCCAACACACCCGCTCCGTTTACCATCGCTGTCTACAGATTCCATTTCACTGCCTCCTAGTATCAGGTATTCTACTGGCCAATTCTTGCTTATATCTATGTGTTCCAAATCAAATTATTCAGCAGCCCAGCTCGACGCTGGAGTATTTAACAGTTGAGATGCATGTTTGTTCATTATTTCTGGTGCATTAGGCTCTCTTCTAAGTCTAAAGTGGTCCTGAGGAGATCATATATGCATATATTATTCCCCTTGGTTAATCTGGATGCTGACTGTTTCTAGATATGACTGGGTCCAACCTAATAAGCTACTCTATCAGATAATAGCCTCATAGTACATTGCCGTGGGGTCCTGCCTTGATTCTTTCCTTCGTTTAACTGACTTCACAGGTCTCCCCCCTCTTTTGTTCACCATCCACACCACCGTTCACACCATTATTGACTCCGGAAGAACTCAGCCATTTTGAAGCACACAAGGTGTCCCTCACTAGTCTGAGCAGCAGCCGTCACTCTGGATACAAGCTCAAAGCCGCAGCCTCAGCTAGGTTAACGGGGCAGCCATTCCGTGTGAGCAGCTGAGCATTGCAAAGCTTTCCCATTTCAGGTACGATTCTTACTTTCTCTTCCTGGGCTCAGTTCTTTGACATGGATACATAGCTTCCATTGCCAATAGTCTGCCACTTCTCTACTTGCAGCCAATTTTACTAGTTTACCCTTGATCTGGGTACAAGCTCAAACCTGCTTCCTAAGCTAGGGGTTGATTATGGCCAATGAGGACACCAGTTCCGTGTGACTATGTCTATGTGAGGAGCATTGCGTTGCTCTCCCTTTCCAGGTATGATTCTTAGTTTCTCTTCCTCTGCCTGGTTGTTAGACATGGATGATTATGGCCAACATTCTTAGTTTCTCTTTACTTGCACTTAGTTTTGCTAGTTAGCAAACATATTCTTGAATTATCTAAAAAACAAGCATAGTATGTTACATAATTCTTCGACGAGCAAACACTTATTTATACATGTTTTTTTTTGGTGGTATCAATCGGATGTAGGTATTCAGAGAAAACAAAGGGAAATATCTAGACCGCTATTTTGGTTATCGCTCTGGATACTAGCTCAGTTGCAACCGTATATGGCTAACGAGGGCACCCTTCCCTTTTGGCTGTGATCATTGCAATGCTTTCCATGCCAGGTATAATCTTTTACTTTCTCTTCGTGTGTTTGGCTGTTAGGCTTTGATGTGTGTAGCTTGCCACTGCCAATAATCTATCACTTCTGCGATTGCAGTTAATTTTACTAGTTACCCTGTAGAATCTGTTAAGTGTCTTCACCAAGAAGTAGGAGTACTTGTCTATGTGTGTATTGTGGTAATAGCAGTTGGAACTAGGTATCTAGAGAAAACAAAGGGAAAGTTCTAGACCACTTATTTTTGTGAGTCAGATTATAACGGTAATGTTCAGTCATGTATATGATGTTATTGTTAAATGGGAAGCACAAAAACTTATTTCCAAGCATAATCATTAACTAGTACTCCCTCTGATTGAAAAAAAGTGTCGCAGCTTTGAACTAAGGTTACTTTAACCTCAGTTCAAAGCAGCGGCGCTTTTTTTGGGTCAGAGGGAGTAGAACTCTATGCTCAAACATGAACATATCTATGATAATATCTAGTCATGCAAACTGCACACCAAATTCATCTAGTTACAGTATATAGAACAGGGTTGATCCCTTTAAGACTTTAATCAGCTGATAATCTACTTTCGTCTTGAACACCAACCCAGTGTAGACTCTGATAGTTGACGTACAACATAAGCGGACACCTTTCTGGAGAAGTCTATATACTTTAATACTTGAGCTAATAATTTATATGGTGGTTACTGTTTGAAAATACAATTCATATCGTGGTTATCATTGTAGGGTCTAACAGGCAAGTTAGCCTTTAACGTGCTATCTTTGTGTTGTTTTCGTTTGGAACATAGACTTCACCAAGTCCATCTTTCTAGCAACCTTCTTTGCTTTTATTGTTCAGAACCATCCTTGAATTATCTTTGAATCCTTCAGATATCTTCTTCATCCAAGAAACTCTTACCTGATGATCCAGATAGAGGCATAGAAAGCAACCGAGAACCTGAGACTTGCAATTTCGGTCAGAGAGCAACCACATGGCAGGTGGCAGGCAGTCCGAAATCAGCATTGATCTGACCAACATCAACACCATGGGTACCCAGGTACCAGAGAATGGTTCGAGTGAAGTCAGCAGAGGTGTTTTTGGAATTGGTACTGTCAGCATGAGGCAACATCCCATCAATGGCTCGTCCAACAGAAATTTATTACCCCCTGACCACGAATCCAGCTTCAGCAACAATGATGATTTTGAGCTCTTGTGGGGACATCGTAAATATTTGGTACTTCTTGGAGTCCTAGCAGTTGGTGTGACATACAATGCTGGATTAACACCACCAGGGGGATCGTGGACACTAAACAAGGATGGTCATGATGCTGGTGACCCTGTCATGCATGCTGGCTTTTCTGAACGATATGAGGTGTTCTTTTACTGCAATGCAACAGCCTTCGCTGCATCTCTTGTCTTAATCATCTTGCTTCTCAGTAAGAGTGTGACAAGGAAGAGAATGTGGCTCCACGCAATGCAATTAACCATGATATTCGACCTATTCAGCCTGCTGGGGGCTTATGCTGCCGGAAGCTGCAGGGCACTCAAGTCATCCATTTACATCTGGGTTCTAGTCTTTGCGGTCATCACATATGTTGGGATCCATACCCTAGTATCCACAAGGTTTATTCCAAGAAAATTGAAACAGAATCTGCAGAGAATGATAAATACAGTTCTAATCAAACGGGGTTTCCTTGTGAGGCAAGTGAGCATCCCTCTAGAGAACGTTGAGGAGGCTCGCAAGTTCATTTTGACGCTTGTAATTTTTGCTGCTACTATTACATACCAAGCAGGATTGAATCCACCAGGCGGCTTTTGGGCTGAAAATGACCATGGTTCTAATAAGGTGCATATGGCCTTTCCTCCTTACAAGCATCATCCGGCTACTTCTGTTCTCCGGAGTAACTACCTTGGTCGTTATAATATATTCATCATTTCCAATTCAACTTCCTTCGTGGCATCTTTGGTCATAATCATACTGCTTCTGAGCCCAAAACTGAGTGGACATGGAATAAGGACCAAAGCAGTGATTGTATGTGTGGTAGTGGACCTATCGTGCCTAATTGTTGCGTATGCTGCAGGATGTTGTAGAGAGGTAGCAACATCATTCTATGTGGTGTTTATCATCGTCATAGTTTGGATCTCCTTCGCAATTTTAGCTGGATTCTTTGTTTGCAGGCCTGTAGCAAATTGGCTACAAAAGGTCAAAACAAGCAGCCTGTGTTGCGTGGAAAAATTGGGCCGTGCACTTTCATTGAGCTTTAGTAGACACAGACATAGCAATGCAGAGCAGGAGAATTCTTATGCAAGCAATCATCATTCTTCAGTCCGTTCAACTGAAACACCTGCAGAAGATAATACCCCTGAACCACAAGACCAGCCTGCAGACAATCAGCAACTTCCAAATATCAGAGAGGATGAGTCCCATGAGGAGCATGCACCTGCAGAAGAAAGAAATCAAATTTCAGATGATGAAGAGGCTGTGAATCACTCACAGCATCTGTCAGGGAACAGCCAGCAATCAACAAATATCGAGGTTGTTACGTCCAACCCGGAGTGTCCGTCTACACATGTCCAGCATGTTGCAAATGAGGAGTGTCAGTCTACAGATGTTGAGCAAAATATGCCGGTCAGGCAGAGTAACGGAGACACTAGTCATGACATAGTGGATGAAGGGCTTTCTGCACCTGCGGAAGCCACTGGCAATGCAGACTCTGCTGAACAAAACAATCTGGTTGAAGATAATAACCCTAGTACTGAGATTCTTGCCAGTGATGACCATCCTACACATTCTGAGAATGTACATACTGACAGCAATCAAGTAGCCAACCAAAATGCTGATGACATTCGAACTGAGAAGCATCTGAAGAAGACCCGCACATGTATGCTGCTTCTTGCCATTCTTGCAGTATCTCTGGCATACCAATCAGGCCTGAATCCACCAGGTGGCTTTTGGTCAAGAAGTAAAGATTATCATTCAGCTGCTGATCGCATCCTTGAGGACACCCATCATCGCCGATTCATTGCATTCTTCTATCTCAATGCAATCGCCTTCGTGGCATCCATTGTCATGATCACTTTGCTTTTGAACAAGATGGTGAGCGACAAGGTTACCAAACGGCGTGCATTGCCAATAACGATGATAGTGGTCCTACTTTCCCTAACCGGAGCTTTTGCTCTGGGGAACTGCAGGGAGGCAAAGAAGACTATTTTCATATCAGTGCTCGTATGCAGTGTACTTGCTTATGTTCTCATTCATGTCTTGATAGCAGTACATATAATTCCTCCAGAATGGAGAAGGCAGGTGGCAGAGATGCTAGAGCACTCGGTTAGTCATTTTTGCTCAGTGCCGCGTCAATTAGGCCACAACCAGACTGGGGGTGATACTAGTGAGAAGGAGTTGGGAAGAAGACGTAATCTGCTATTGACCATTGCTATTTTAGCTGTGACTGTCACATACCAAGCTGGCATGAACCCTCCAGGAGGTGTCTGGTCTGATGACAAGGATGCCACGGGAACTCCGGGCAATCCAATCCTTCAGGATACCCATCCAAAACGCTATGATGTGTTCTACTACTCAAATTCAGTTTCATTTGTGTCGTCTGTGGTCGTCACAATATTACTTGTGAATAAGGAATCCTGTGAGTATGGAATCAAGTCCTATGCACTGCGAGTGTGTTTGGTGGCGGGATTGCTTGGCCTCCTCATTGCCTATGTTGCAGGAAGTTGCAGAAATAGTAAACAGTCCATCTATCTGAGCATCATTGCTATGGCAGTTCTTGTCTCCCTTCTGATTCAAGTTCTGCTCTCTTTGATGCACGGCACACTAGGAAGACCATTGGCTAAGTGTCTAGTATTTCTACACGATCTTCTCTTTCATGCAGAGGGTGAACGAATAATCACTCCTGTGAGGCCAGAATCTTCAGTTGTCGAAGAAAAAGAAGTGAGAAAGAGACACAAGTATCTGATGCTTCTTGCAATTTTAGCAGCATCGATCGCATACCAAGCTGGTCTGAACCCACCTGGTGGATTCTGGTCTGATGACGAGAGCCATGTACCAGGCAATCCCGTCCTTCGTGATATTAATCACCGACGGTACAAGATATTCTTCTGCTTCAATTCTTTCGCATTCATGGCATCCATTGTCGTGATCCTGCTTCTGTTGAGTAAATCTATCAGGAAGAAGGCTGTGCCACTTGGGGTATTGCACTTGATCATGATACTGGATATGCTGGCTCTCATGACAGCTTTTTCTGCGGGAAGCTGCCGCAAATTGAGGACTTCAGTGTATGTCTATACACTAGTTGGCGGCGTTGTAGTAATCCTGCTGCTCCTAATTATTGTGTCAAGTGCAATTGCAAAATATCGGAAGGCAAGAGAGAGAAGTGGGATTAACTCCCCGAGACGTCCTGAACCTGTTTCAGGAGCAAACACACCGGCACTACCTGAAGTTTGATGCTCCCTTTTTACGATAACCCTATTCATCTAGGAATCTATATTTCTGTATTATCTGCGAACAATTTGTGTGTCTCCTATCAGCATTTTTCTTCATGTTCAGACTTGACTTGAGCACCGGTGTTGCTGCCTGTTGTATGTTCTTGGAAATTATTTTAGCATGCTTGAAATTTGAGCTCGAGCCTAAAACTGCATATCGGGTACATCGTCATGCAATGGTGCTACAAGCAGGCTATGAGGATTATCTTCATTATTCTTTTGTTGCATACTAATTTTATTTTTTCAAGATTGGTTGCATACTATTTTGCATCTTTTTACACTCGCTATTTGCCAATGAAGTTGCTCCGAGAATTTGGAGCTTTATTCCGCTACAGAAGTTGGTACCACATTAGGCTTTCTGGCTTGTTCAATATTCTTGCACTTTATGTTCTTCTAACATCAGCTTGAGCTGTTCAGTCATTTGTGGGATGATCCCATATTCTCATATAAAACAAGTTTGACTACTAGGCTTGTTTTGTACTGGCTGTCAGCCAGTGTTTTTCGCTTCTCTGATATTATTAGTGTAAAGGGAGTAGTAGTACATACTGGCACCCCAAGGCTCTGCATTTCCTTGTAACATTATGAAGTAACCCTTGTCTATTTAAAATGTACTGGAGCTGTCTTATATGATGAAATGTTTTCCAAAAATCAACGCTGGAGGGGAAGTCCGGGATTTGTATTGTATACATGGTGTGTGCTACTGCCAATGTTGTGGAAGCTGTTCTTTTGATTCAGTTACATACCTCTGCTTTTATGCATGTTATTAGTTCACTTCATCCTGTGTTGATATCTACTGTGACAAGGAACATTCCCAGGGCGTGGAGTTATTGAGAACACATGGTTATTTCCACACCAATTTTCGCTAACATAGATGTTCAAGCTTAGCAACCTGGTCACAACATTGTCTGGCTAGGGATTACTCCCTCCATTTACTAAAATTATAAGGCGAGTTATACATTTTAGCAAATATAAGTGTATTTCTATTCCATTTTCCGGTGCAAAGTGTTTAATTCCCTTATACCCCTAAAGCTGTGCTTTTTATTCCATATTTGCTGCTTGTTAGTTTAGTCCTTTTCAATATCCGCTTGGGCTAAATACAAGGCAACTGTATATATTTAAATGGTGAAACTGTGATGCCCTTCATCCGATTCAAAATATAAGGTGTACCGTTTTGTTTAAAAGTCAAATGTACCTATGCTTGACCAAGTTTATTATAAATAGAAAAATCTTCGACAACAACAGAGTACATAGTCATGGCTTAGTACACCCGAAATCAAGCACGCTATTTTCCTAGTCCTATTTGATTGCTCGGTTTTCTCGTTTTCGCTCTGCAACCAAACCAAGAGAAAACCACCGGAAAACAAATGCCAGGAGGCAATCCACGACGACGAGAAGAACTTTGAGTCGTCCTTGATGTCGACGGGATACCGAGCCCGACCCCATCGAGCACGGGGACCGCCGGTTGGTTGTGGGGCTTGGGCGACCCAGCCTACGCCCTCGTCAGTGCAGTGCACCCACGTGTCAAAGCGAGCCTTGACGCTCTCAGACTCAGCAGTGCACGACCGTCACGGTATTTGCGCTGGGTGTCCGTCTCCGGCGCCGGCCGCTCGATCCCGACCTGCAATCGGGCGTGCTTGTAATCTGCTGTAGTAGTGTATAGTACCAGGTCTACAGGTGTCTATGTTTCTCGCGGCACGCTTGGTGGAGAAGTCAGGCAGCCAAGCCCGGTGAAATGAGGGGTTGTTTGGATGGAGTCCTAATAGGGAGCTTCTCTCTCAGGCAGCAATCCTGACCTCAGGCCTTCAAAATCCAAAGCCTGAGAATGGTGCCTGAGACAGGCATCTTTTTGTGGAAGTCAACCAAACAGCCCTGAGTCTGAAGATTTTCAGTGACTCCATTAGCAATGGCAACCGACTTTGAGCATTGCAATCACTCTCCTTGTCCAGGTATGCCGCTCATTTCTATCGTAATCAAAACATAGCGGTTGAATTGAGTAAAATGCATGGGTGATCACTGAACTTATACTGATAGCTCACTTTGGTTATCGTACTTAAGAATACGGTCATTATATACGAATGTTGGTGATTATATGGTCACTGCCTCACCGTATAGCTTCGTATTTTTTCTGGCTGACCTGTCCAAGTGGCGCCTCATCAGCTCGCGTTCTCTCTCTGCCAATGCAGGTCCCACATGTCAATGTGGTAAAAAGCATTGTTAACTAGCCGGTTGAGCGCACAACCTTTTTTTGTGTAAAATAAATGATTGATACTCTATAGTATGAATCACCACAACGCACACAGGACGTGAACACTACTACTCCCTCTGTTTATTTTTACTCCGCGTACAAAATTTTGTCAAAGTCAAGTTACACAAAGTTTGACCAAATTTATATCAAAAAATATGAACATCTATAATATTGAAACTATATAGTATGAAAATACATTTCATGGTGCATCTGACAATGTTGTCATATTATGAATGATGATATTTTTCAATATAAAGTTAGTCAATCTTTTTTCAAGGATACGTCAAAGTTGACGTATCGAGATGATAGATAGAAGATGCCTAGAAAAGCAGATAGTTTTACAACTTAGCCACGGAAGCCAGTTTTCGACATGCCGATTACTCACTACTAGCCCACTCATCTACTCTAATCGGGAGTGATCCCGCCTCTCGCAGCCGCCCTGCCGCCCTCCAGTCTTGCCCTTGTAGATCAATCTTCCTGAGGAGCTCACTTGTGGAGGCTGTCGCTCCATTGAACACTACATCATTTCTGTGTTTCCACAACATCCAAGCCACCAATGCAATGACGGTCCAAGTCTCCTTCCTAAGCTTTGGCTGCGGGTTGATGGAGGTCCACCATTCCACCAGATTGTCATCCGCAGTTGGCAACCAAGTTAGGTTGTCCCAGTGGTCGAGAATGGAGAACCACACTTGTCTAGCAAAGACGCAGCCGAGAAGTGTGTGGTTGATTGTCTCCGGCTCTTGATCACAGAAGGGGCAAGCCGGAGGATGCGGTATGTGCCGGCGCGCAAGCCTGTCAGCCGTCCAACACCTCTCCCGAGCCACCAGCCATGCGAAGAATTTGCGACGATATAGTTTGGTCAAAATCAACCTTGTCAGCGTTTATCGTTGCAAATTAAACCGGACATGAAAGTATTTCACGATTTAACCTTTTTAGAAACGCCAGGGCCCGTGGCGTTTCTGGTCAACACTGAAACGCCGAACCAGCTAGCGTTTCTTCCCTGACCCACTGCCAGGCCGAGCACGCCCGAAAACGCCGAGGCATCTAGCGTTTCTTCAAACGCCATCAACTATAGCGTTTCTAGTGCAGATATATTAGGTGGCTGTGGACCTTTCACCCACCACTCACCACTCACTCTCTTCTCCCCCATTGGCCTATTCCGAGCTCTTGCCCTTTCCCCCCTTTGTGTCCCTCACTTAGCCCCTCTCAAATCCTTGCAAATCGATTGGATTGGTCCGTGAATCCGGTGTCATTTCCGTTCCTTGAGGTAACGTCCTTCATCTCACAATTTTTTATTGGTTGGATTTGTCTACTTGGATTGTTTTGTTCATGTGGTTCCTAATCCTAGTTTTGAAGATGGTTCAATAATATGATGTCCTTGAGTATTGTTGTTCCAATATGTTGCATTGTGATGTTGGTGAACAAACCTTATTGCTTGGGTTATGCCTAATGTTGAGATTTAGGGTTAAGGTTATGCCTGATGTTAAGATTTAGGGTTATGGTTAGTGGTTTTGTTAGCAATGTGGTATATTTAGCATTGTACATTTGTTATACTTATGTTCCCCTTTTTTAGATGGACAAGATTGTGAATATTCATTATGTTGACAAAGAGGCATTCACGAATGTGGATATTGTTGACAAGTATGAGGAAGTGTTGATATTTCTTGATACTCCTAGTTATGAAGAGGTTGTGGAAGAAACACGGATAAGATTAAAGTGGGTGGATGCAAGTGACCAAGTTGAATTAGTAGGAAGATATGATGTTGGGTTGGCACACAAGTGTCGAATGAAGACAATGCCTATCAAGTCCAATTTGCATTGGGTTGCATATAAGGAGGTTGTTGCATCCTCGGCATTCAAGTCACTCGAAGTCTTTGCAAGTAAGGTGGTCAAGACTCCTCTCTTTCATGTTGACTTGAACCAAACTTTAGTAGATGATGTGAGCCCGGTTAGTAGTGTGCCGCCTATTGTTGAGCATAAAATTGAAGTGGAAGCCAATGAGTATCCCCAATATGAGTTCGGAGGTAGTGCACCGATCAAAGATGATGGTGATGACTCCGACGAAGAGTATGAGAGGCACCACAACATTGTTGGTGACTTAGAGGCTGAAGTAAGGCATAAGGACATGGATCCTGACATTATCTATCAGCGTGCTTGTGTGGATCACTCGGATGATGAAGTGTCAGGACCCCGATTCTAAGTCACACTGATCTAGCATGTAACACCTCATATCACTTTGCGGCCTCATGCACGATATTCCACGGGTGATGCCTTACCTGGCACGGGACCGTTTGCGCCTTTTGGCTCGCGTATATGATAGTGTTGCTAGCATCCATATGACAGAGAACCCGGGCTGACATGACTAGTCGTGAACCCAAAGTGGCGCTAACTTATAGGGACAGGCATACATGACCCAGCAACAAACGTGTCGATCAACAGCAAATGAACCCAAGTTGTAGCAAGCTACAAGGACTTACAGGAACACCGCGTGACATTTCCCCCAAGGGACAGACACAGGAATGAATGACACATGTCGGCCAGCCTAAGTGTTCCGGAGCAGTAGCAAGCTACCATGGCTCGGTGGAAGCACTAGGAGACATTTCCCAGTAAGAGAGGCTACCAAGGAGAAACAACTAGGTAGTCAAATCCCACACATACCAAGAATTTCAATCATACACACTATATGCTCGATATGTGCAAATACAACATGGCATCAC